TTTATTACCTCTAACCTGGACTACTGTAATTTGTTATAATCAGGACATCCTAGACTAGAAAGAGAAAGCGTATGTCTCCTATATTGGCTCCAAGTTAAATCCAAACTGAATTCAAAATCCTGCTCCTCACATACAAGGTCTTGAATAATCATCCCCCATCTTATCGTAATGACTTTAAAGTACTATATCACCCCATTAGAGCACGTCTGCAGGCTTACTTGTGATATTTAACCTCCTAAGACCTGAACTCTTCCATGGAAAGCATTTTAATTTCTCTTTGATATTTGGGCATATTGGGACCCGATGAATGTAAAAAGAAAGAATCACCAGATTTTTTTTATTTTTATTTTTTACCCAATATTTGTTTCTAAGAAAAATTAGAGCCACATGTGAAGACATTTGTTTTAAATTTTGATAAAACAGAGGCAGTATAATATTCTCGTAAGTGGATATCAGGCCCCTTTAGAGCAAAATTTTGTATTTTGTCTAGACAACCCAAAATGTGATGTCCACATATGTGGACACCAGGGGTCCGTTCTTCGTACCTCGCTTACTACATCCAAGATCAAATGACACATCCAAGATCAAATCATCGCGCTAACTTTGAGCTCCCTATTCCGGTTCTTCGAACACACCTGTTGTTGACGCTTAGTACAGCTGGATGAAGTAATGTGAGATCACCGGGTGGCTTAACAGGGGCTACGCATCGATAGTAGAAACATTGATCAGCAACCCTTTGATTGGTCGGCGAAAATGTCGAAGGAGCGCGCTCGGTATTTTTCGGCAGCAGAGCAAGAACTCTTGATTGACGGATTTCAGGAGTTTCAGAGTTTAATTAAAACGCAAGGGAACACTGCAAATGCTGCAAAAGCAAGGAGAGAGGGCTGGCAGAAAGTTGCTGACAAATTAAACTCGTAAGTAATTTAATAATAATAATAATAATAATAATAATAATAATAATAATAATAATGGATTGGATTTATATAGCGTTTTTCAAGGCACCCAAAGCGCTTTACAATGCCACTATTCATCCACTCTCACATTCACACTCTGGTGGAGGCAGCTACGGTTGTAGCCACAGCTGCCCTGGGGCAGACTGACAGAAGCCAGGCTGCCATATCGCGCCATCGGCCCCTCTGGCCAACACCAGTAGGCGGTAGGGTAAATTTATTATATTATTTTATATTACATTATATCATATTATATTATATTACATTATATCCTCTTTCACATTAGAGCCACGACAGGACCCACTAGAACATGGGAACAAGTAAAAGTGAAATATTAGAATATTCTACAGAATGGTAATATTTATCACTTATATTGGTTTTCGTCTCTTGAAAAGAGACCCTGAAATAATCTGTTTGTTTGTTCATAACAGCAACCAAGAAAAGGGCAAAGCAACAAAAGACAGGTGGTGGTCCTGCACCCCCTCGTCAACAAGTTGGTTAAGTAAATAATACCCTCACGGGAATATCGATATCTCTCTATGAGCACACTGTCGCGCTGAGCTAAAGGATCCTGTCTATCCCGCAATATACGCTGAATTCTGAAAACTCTCCTTATCAATCTTGCACCTTCCGCAATGGGTGGCTCGCGTATACGGACAGGACATGGCTGCGACAGACTTCCCAAATCCACCTTCGCTTTTATAGCCGTGGTCTCTCATCTTGATTACACGAAGTAATAGAATGATTAATAGTACATTTCCCTTTTTTAGGAAATGACCTGTATGTATCTGTATGGAATCAATAAAAGGATCAAGTGCTGCATTATCTTTAGTTACATTGATGTTATTTATTTATGGTGAAACAGTGGTAAAATATCGCTGTTGCTTTCGTATAAATGAAGCGGACATACCTGCGTGGCCGCGATCTAATCCTGTTTACATAAAGTAAACCTGCTCCCGAGCAGGTTTACGCTTACGGATATGTTGCTATGACAGCAAGTCCCGGATGAGCTTCGGGGAACCGAACGATCCAGGATCATGCGAAATCGTCAACAATCAAATCCAGCTAACTTACTTAGCGAGGTACGAAGAACGGGCCCCCGGGCCCTATTTCAGGAAGCCGGTTTAGAAAACTCAGAGTGAAAAACGATACTCAGGGTTGAGTAACCCCGAACTGTCCAACTCGGAATATTCGGTTTCAGAAAGGCTGATAACAATTAGTTCAGTCAACGCGGAGTTGCTTTAACCCCAAGTTAAGCGCGCGCACGAGGATACATAAAGCCCTGATTAGTGGAGCACAGATTAAGCGAGTCACCATGGAGACGGAGGGAAAGAAGGCGCGGACAATGTATCTTACAGCGCTTGAGGCCGAAATTCTGATGGCAGCATATGCCGATAACATGCAAATTCCGCGGAAAAAAAGTAACACAGCCTCAGCTGCAAAAGAAAGAGAGCATGCATGGCAAAACATAGCCGACAGAGTCAATGCGTGAGTGTTAATTTAAACATTGATCTAGGGATTTCCACCCATTTAACACATTATTTTATTATATTTTATTTTTTATTTCATACATTTTATTTTGTGATGTGATTTGAGCGCAGGTGCAACCCAACAGGCCCCAAACGTTCCTGGTAGCAAGTAAAAATGAAATATAAAAATATGGTCCAAACAGGTAAGGTGTAATTGTATTATGAGCCATAGTGCTTGATCTGTTTGTCCGATGTCAATCAATTGCAGTTAGAGGCTACATTAATTTTCTTTCTGTAAGCACTTATTGAAATTATCTGAGCACATTATAAGTACATATTTGCTTACTCTGTATGCTCAAATGTGACCCGTTATAGCCAACAGAAAAAAAGCGGAGGCCCGAAAAATAGGTGGGGGTCCTCCACCACCACCACTCACAGAGGCTGAGCAGTTGGCTTCCACATTTGTGATAATGTTGGTAGCATCACATATGATCTTCACAGTGCAGAGAACACAAATTAGCATCCATTACTATAATGAAATAATTTGTTAGTTTGAAATGCTACAGGGAACTATGTACCTGTACATTAATGCTGTGGAAAGACTTCCTGTTCACATAGTCTCCTTCATTTACTGAAGGAGCAATGATTGGAATGTGAGTGCCATCTCTACAGCCAATCACGCCTGGGAACCGTGAAAATAAATGTAAAATTTAAGTAGTAGTTCAAGTGTCACCACATCATGAATTAAGTTTCGTTCATCCTGATACCTGCAAATTTGTGGCATCCCTCTTTGATGAATCTTATGCGTCTGTGACCGGGGAACACCACAAACGAGTACAGGAGATGTTTCAGTGCAACTGTAACATTCCTGACTGCCCGACAGATGGTAGCCTTGGAAACGTGCTCAACGTCACCATTATACAGAAAGCTCCCGTTTGCAAAAAACTGAAGTGCAATACAAATAATATGTACAGAACTGAGAGAATGTCCGCGATGTGTCACATGAGCAATATTAGGCCTGAGGATGTTATTCAAATAAATTATAGATTGTGCTGAAAAACGGTAACGTTCACACAGGAAATCATCAGGAAATGATAAAATGTCCGAACGCGCTCTAATCACTCTCTCCCGGTGGAGAGCTCTGCGGAGAATTTGGGCTTCAACATCTACTGGCTCTTCAAGGAAGGAGCACGCCATGTCTGACACTTCCTACAGTCAGGTTTCCGACAAAGAGGCAGAGAAAGTCAGGGTTAGTTGAAGTAAACCTGCTAGGTCCTAGGAGGTTAAAAATAGAATGGGAGGCAGAGGCTTCAGTTTTCATGCCCCTTTTCTGTGGAAACAGCTTCCAAATTTAATTTGGGAGACAGACACCATCTCTACCTTTAAGACTAGGCTTAAAAATTCAGAGAAAATTCTTTTTTTTTAAATTACATTTTTTATTGTAAAAGCCACAAACATGTTTAACGAATCATTTTCATAACTTGAAATGCAAATAGAAATTGTACATTTACTACACTACACACTAACTACAGCCTCCAAACACGCTAAACGTCACTAATGTCTCACATATGAAAACTCGCTCTCTCTCTCTTTCGTTCGCCCGCTTTCTCTCGCAGGTGTCACTCCTAAAACTTCCCCCTCTTCCTAAAAACCAAGTGCCACATGTTGCCATATCATTTTTTTGATTGGCTGACACAGTAAACTTTAACACCAATAGGGAAGGGGTGTTTTTTCTTTTTTCACTCGCAAGCGCAGTGTTTGCTAGCGCTGTCCTTAGAAAATGCAGTTTTTAACCATTTCTTCTCGCTGTAAACACCACTGTTTTGTTCAGAAAAAAAACATTGCGTGTATTTTTTATCATAACTCTGGTTTTACGTGGCCAAACGACACAATTTAAAAACTGGTATGTGCCTTGCAGTCCGCACTTCCGAACCAAGTTGAATTGGAGACTGTGTCGCTGCATCTTGTTGCTGTGTCATCTTAAATTGGTCATGTGATTTTGACGCACCGGCGCGTCTGTCGACCCCAGAGGATTAAAGCATATAGTTAGGGCTGGATCAGGTGACCCTGAATCCTCCTTTAGTTATGCTGCAATAGGCTGCCGGGGATGCTGTGTTAAGTATTTCTTCTTCAGTCACCTTTCTCACTCACTATGTGTTAATAGACCTTTTTGCATTAAATCAGAGTGTGTGTGTGTGTGTGTGTGTGTGTGTGTGTGTGTGTGTGTGTGTGTGTGTGTGTGTGTGTGTGTGTGTGTGTGTGTGTTCCTGTCTAGCTATCTTTGTGAGGACCGAAATCTCCATTCTACTACTACTACTATACTTGTGAGAACCAACAGTCACTTGTGAGGACACACACACACACACACACCGGTCCTCACATATTTGAAGGCCTTTTTGAGGCTCAAAATGTGGTTTTAGTGTCAGGGTTACAATTAGGTTATGGTTAGGTTTAGGGTAAGGGTTAGGCATTCATTTTTAATGGTTAGGGTAAGGGGCCCCCTTACTAAGATAGCTGATAACAAAAGGAGAACAAGTAGATAAAGCAGAGAAACTCTGATGCTAAAGAAGGGAATACTCACTTTTCTTTTGGCCTTTATACTGCTGGGCCTTTTTCTTCTGCTTGGGAACAGACTGGGACATTTCTCTGTTACCTAAAAAAGAAACAAGAAAGGACATTCAAGCATACAATGAGAGGAAAGCACATCCATACGACTGTCTTCCTCTTATCCAATTCAGTGTCGCGGGACGAGGAGGGGGGCCGGAGCCTTTTCCAGCTTTGGCAGGATACATAATTATCTTTTTGGCAGTTGTGAGGCAGAGGCACATGCGCAAACATTCTCCAAATGATATAGGTTATGGTTGGAGAGAAGTTCAAGAGCCCTAGGTAAGATAGTTCAGGATGTCATCCTACTGCAAGGTGGCAGACTTGAGACAGCCACCACAGCAACATGCTCATATTACTATCTTCTAGTTCCAGGTGGTTTGCAGTGACTGAACAGTTAAAACAAAAAGAGAATGTTTTAAAAGACCTACATATGAAGAGGAACGGTTAATTTGAAGATTTACATTAAGGCTGCGAAGGATATTTAGTTTTCATTATGTTGACTGCAGAGAAAATTGCCTTGCTTTTGTGTGTGGAGCAAGACATGGTCAAGCTACACGGGGCTAATTTCCTTATATCTGAGAAATTTCTTTCAGTACAAACTGCTCTTTTGGGTCCACATCATCTTAGAGATCAACAAATTGCATCTGGAGAGGCCCAGCATTTAGCCACTGCTCAACTTTCACAGCACCAGTTTGTTCCTTATCTTTTCTCTCCTTTCGCCGTGTCACCCATTTGCTTTTTCAGCTTTCTCAGGCATAGTCTTCTGTATTTTTCCCTTTTTTCTATATTGCTTTCTTTCTACTGTCTTTTCTTGTGTATCTTACTAACTCTCAGTGGTCAGGACAAACACCACTGAAACAAAACAAACAAACAGAAAAAAACAAAACGTAATGATCAATTGAACTGCTGAAATAAATGCAGTACGAGAAATAGACCTGAAATAAGCTCACTGTAAATCTATAAATTCTAAGCAGGCATTCCTGATTGGTGGCAGTTTATAAACACCCCTATGAGACAAACAAACACATATGCACATCCCTACCTCACAATGTTTACAGGTCTAGATGTGCGCACACTCAACCGCACAGGTGGTCTGTGGGATAACAAACGATTCTCTATTTCTCAGTTATATATTGGCAAGAAAACACCTATTCTTCCTCTGGAAATGCAGCAATACCCCCTTGCACATTCAATGGCTGCGTGATGTAATGTCCTTTCTTAAACTTGATAAGCTCAACCATTTTCTCTGAGGCAGATCCCAAAGGTTTTTGGTCAAGTGACAGCTATTCGTGACCTACTGTAGTTCATTATAACCGTCTCATGTAGTGATCCCATTCTCTGCCCTACTATCTTGTCTGATCCTTGATATTAATAATTCTCTAAACGTTTTGCACTAAGACACTAGAGGAAGAAGTATGAACAGCATTATGGCATTACTCTGTGAGGCAGGCGGTTGGAGCTGGTAGCCTGTTAGCTGACACCAGCCCACTGGATAGAGGTCAGGCGACTCGCAGTCCACCCACTGATCATACTCGTCTTCCCAACCATCAAAGTGGATCCTCAGTAGGCGGTGCACAATCCTTGTCACCGTGGCGACACACACCAGCCTTGGTTCCATCAGATCAACAGCTTCCAGCTTCATGCCTAGCCGAAACCCATGATTGGGAACCTCCTAGGACATGAAAGGATCAAGGACAGTGGAAAAAGAGAAATTTAACAAACAAAACCCGGATCTTAAAAGTACTGCAGCCTGTATTTATCCTTCAGTAAAAGCTTGTGAGAAACTTTACAAATCCTGTCAGTCATAACATGAATATGACCAATAATGACATGAGTTTTTACTGCTACTGTTTAAATGGATGGGGCACGGTGACATGGAGATTAGCACTGTTGCCTCACAGCAAGACGGTCCTGAGTTCAATCCCGACCACCTGGCCGGGGCCTTTCTGTGTGGAGTTTGTGTGGGTTCTCTCCAGGTACTCCAGCTTCCTCTCACCGTCCAAAGACATGCAGTTAGTGGGGTGGGGTTAGGTTAATTGGTGATTCTAAGGCTATATCTACACTAGCCCGGATAAATATGAAAACAGTGTATACGTCTGAAAACGCTCCGCGTCCACACTATCATTTTCATAGAGTTGTTCATCCACATTTAAATCAAGTTCAAGTTCAAAGTTTATTCGCCACATGCAGTGGCAGGTTGCCCTGCAGTGGAATGAACCCGCCCCCCGACCTTACACATACAACACAGACATCACATGGGGATACAAGTCAGAGAACGGTTGCATTACAGAAAAAAAAAAACACTGAAATGTACACTACAATGGGAAAGGTACAAGAGGAAAAAAAGAGACCTCTACTCATGCTGGGCTACAGGAGGACAGCATGAGAGCAGGAAACAAAAAAAACTCCTCTGCACAGAAAGCACATAAATGTCCACAGTACAACATTATAGAGCACGTGAACAGCAACAGGGTTGGGGATAAGGAGTAATCCCAGGCAACACAGCAGCCATCCTGCCACTGCGCCGACTCTCCAGCGCGGGCCCAGACCCGTCCCCAGGAGGCAACAAGCATCGAAGGCATTGGAAGGGGAAGGGAAATGTGTGAGTGCTTATCAGTGTAAGTGTATGTGTGTGAGTGTCCATAGTTCAGCTGAGACAGTGTCCTTCGCCCTATCAGGCTAAGTAAACAGTCTGCTAGCCAATCCAGGTGGCCTTGCATGGGATGGGAAGAATAGTCATCACACAGTCGTTATCAGGAAGTTTTTGTTCGGCTCCAGCCCCAGCTGGCGCCATGGTGTCCGCATGTTGATGTTGTCAATTTTCTTTTTATGCGAGCAGCTCAGAGGAGGAGAATTTCAAGCTGTTCCTAACACTCCGACACTGGTCCCTCAATCTCCCGTTGGAGAGCCGCAAGCCTCCCCATGATGGTATCAAACTTCTGTTCCATGGTGTTATCATTCTTTTGATTCTGAGACCCCACAACTGCAGTGAGCCATTCTGCGATGTGATCCAACTTTCGCTCAAGGGTCTCATTTTGAGTAGGCCTCTCTTGGATGTATCCCAACATACACTCAATGGTGTTGTTTTGAGTCTTCACAGCAGCTGTAAGCGTCTCCAAGGTGTTAACCACACTGCGTTCGTTGTGAGAGGTAGCGTCTCGTCCTGTCGCTTCGATTCCAGCGGGCAGCTTTGGGGGGGGGGGTTGAACAGCCGGTTCCGCTCTCATATTTCTCCAATAAGTCAGGGCCAAGCCAGCTCCAATCAGCAAGAACCCTGTTATCATGGTTCCGCCAGGCACATGATCTTCCAGTTCTGCCACCCATCCATCATGTATCCGGCAGGGAAAGTCCCTCCAGGGCACTCGGGCTCTCCCGAGCCCAGACTCCTCGTTGAGAAAAGGGTGTCAATAGCATTCAGAGACCAGTTGATCAAATCCATAATTCTCTTTTAGGTTTTAGAGAACGACAGTGAGAGACTGTTCGAGGGAAAGTAATACACACGAGACAAGACAAGGACACAAGAGGCTAAGCAGGGAAGATAAGGGGAAGGAGGAGAGGAGAAAAAGTGCGACCGCCTTCGCCGAGAGCCAAGAGAGAGAGCCAAATAACCGAAAACGCTTACGTTCCAGTACTGCACATGCGTAAAACACAAGACGATTCGACCTGCCTAATTTCTGTCTGCCGTTTATTTACTTTCCGGCTCTTTGAAACGTCGCGGAAAAAAGTTTTTTTTAAATGGACTCTGACCTGGACCTTGAGGTCCAGGTCACTGATATTCAAACTTGTCCACAATTTTTAGTAGATGCACCTATGGTATCAATTTTAAAATAATAAATGGCCACTCATTCTTGGATCCCCGTGGAACTCTGTGACCAACTTTTGAGCATGAATAAGAGAAATTTAAATCTAGTAGAGATATCAAATTCAGACCACACTGACTGATACTACCGTTGTATTCTAATCGCCTTAGTAAAATACTGTTGTCAGTGGTAATTGAATTGATCATTGATCATCAATTGATCATTTGTTACCTTACCAGTGCCGTGTCTGTGCTATGGCGCAAATCTGGACTGAATCTTTGCAAATTATCTGTTCTTTTGCAATGATTATTTAACTGATTGACAGTTAACATCTCCAAATGTTTTGAAATAAAAGTAGCTAGTAAGAACTTTTCAAGTAATAATTTAATTACAGCCATCTTAATGAGGACAGATTAATCATACTTGTGTAACACTTGTAACAACAATTTTTCGAGGACAAACAAAGATGGAGAGTGGAAAGTCATTTTCAGTCTCCATCATGTTAACAGTGAAGGAATCACTTCCTTAAACTTAGTTATCACACATGTTTTGATTGTAGTTATACACAGACAAAAGTACTGGGTCAGCTAGACTGACAAACCGATATCATGAAGCTCCCAGCATAGTGCTAATGTTAATGCTAGAGAACGTTTGTAACTCTACAGCATATAACTGACAACCGACTACATGGCTCAGGACTCAGCAACCCTGCACTGCAAATTTACGTGGTCTGTCACTTCATGGCTGAGTTGCTGTGGTTCCCAAATGCTTTTCCTCTGCAATAATACTGCTTACAGTTGATCATGGAATATCTAGGAGTTAAGCAATTTTTTAGATGTGTCCTTGATCCAACACAGCTTATTTAAATGGCTAAATTACCTCCTCAACATGTCTTGAATGTCTCCAGAGGCCTGGTAATGAACTAATCATCATATTCAGGTGTGTTGACCCAGGGTGATATCCTGCAGGACACCGGCCTTTGAGGCCTGGAGTTCCCCACCCCTGGTCTATATAGTGTAGATCAGGGGTGTCGAACTCCAGGCCTTGAGGGCCGTAGTCCTGCAGGTTTTAGATATCACTGTGGGTCAACACACCTGAATGAAATGATTAGTTCATTACCAGGCTTCTGGAGAACTTCATAACATGTTGAGGAGGTAATTTAGCCATTTAAATCAGCTGTGTTGGATCAAGGACACATCAAAATCCTGCAGGATACCGGCCCTCGAGGCCTGGAGTTCGACACCTGTGGTGTAGATAATTGCAGATGGTGTTTTTATTGCAAGTTATGGGATTTTGATTAGCAGAAGATTTTTAAACTGTTTAAAAACCACACAGGATATACATCAATAAACCTTACCTTGTTAAAGAGCCTGACAGGAGCAGCTACTGAACCTGTTTCTCTGAGGTAGTCAAACCATTTGAATGGGAGTTTAGTGTACCCTGAGAAACACAGTATGTGTCAAGGTCAGAACATAAACAACCCCAAATTTTAAGGTTCCAAAGTGAAGAAAAAAAATATAACTGTAGAGTACCTCTAGGGGGTGTGAGTTCAATGTTATTGATTTCACAGAAGCCAACAGGGAAGATGGAAGGGGAGGTGCCATGGTAGCAGAACCAGTCTGATCCATCGACTGCCTCTGAGCCATCTACCCCAATCATGAGATATCCATCTGCCAACACCTATATAGCAGAGAGTTATGTCATGTCAACTTTAATGTACAACCTAAATTCCAAAAATGTAGATGCTTTTCGGGAGGAGGTTTTCTGGACTTTGAACAAGGCCACCGGCCTGAAACTAGCTCTCAACCCCCTACTTGCTCTCTTTGGTACAGCGGGAGAGGATGATAAGCATATTCCAAAAGCAAAGCGCAGGGTGCTGTCCTTTGGTTCCCTCTTGGCTAGGCGTGCCATTTTGATTGGCGGAAGGTTGCTGCCTCGCCCTCCCATGTTCGGTGGCTTTCTTTTTTCTTTTTTTCCCCCTCTTTTTGTTTTCTTTCTGTCTTTTTTTCCCTTGTTGCTTGTTTGCTAAATAATAAGAAAGGAAAACTGTTCCAACATGAGAAGTTCTCTTTTGTATTCATTGTAAAGTTTGTGTTTTCCGTCTTTTTTTCTTTGTAAACTATATCCACAAATACTCAATAAAAATATTTAGAAAAAAAAATGTAGATGCAACTAGAAACAGAACACAATCAAATCTCATAAATCTATAATCTCTTGACACCTGAGGACAAAAAAACAAAAACAAAAACAAAACAAAAAACAACAGATTGAAGGTTTAAACTGAGAAAATATACCATTTAAAACATTTTTTTCATTTTACAGCAGGAACCCCCACTCCTCACCCCTCACCCCTACCAATTACACCCCAAAAACATTTGGCTGCTCCATTGTTCATAAGGGGTGACTCTTCACATATTTGATTTGGCAGACTTTATATGCTGGCTGCCTCCTGACAAACTCCAAGAGATCATACCAGGATAAACCACTACACTATGGAGCTACAATTTGATGGCAGTAAAGCCCCTTTTCCATTAGCACCTAACCCAGATCAACTGGCCACGGATCGCCACGACCCAACTTGGATGGTTTCCCATTACAAAACACTAGTACTAATGTACGTGACTGTCGTCAATAGCAACACGTCCACGCGTCCTGCCACATAATTAATAATGGACAAGAACACTACAACAAAGGTGGACTTCGAAGCTAGAATGCTAATGCTCGGTCTGTGGCACTGCGTTAGACTCTGGGAACACGGTGTTGTTTCTGTATCCATTTCTCTCGTTTACAGGTTTAAAAAAAAAATAAAAAATGAAGGTTTTGATTTAGTTAACAAGAGTGCTCTCATGACTCATCAAGTGATGCTACTGGCCAGGTATTCGGTGGCATGCAGTTTGATAACTTTAGATTTTTTAACCTGCTTGGATTGCTTGGAACCACTACCAAGCATACTGGTGGTACGTAACCACCACTTAATATAGTGGATGAGAAATAAATAAATTATTAGTGGTATTGAAAGTAGGTGTACACAAAGTTACATCAGTAACAGTAATTTTTTCTCTAATGATATTTTAACCTTAAGTAGTGATGACTTCTTGAATTTCTTTATAAATAAAGGAATCCTTGGCTTAACAGAGCTGACTTTTGGTCAGCCTGGCTACAGTGCTGAAGAGAAACCCATCATTCTTATTACCTTTAGTCAGTGATGAGTAGTACGATGTTCTACCTTTACGGAGGGCTTTGTTATAGAGCAATAATCTACTTTTGCAGGCTAAATGATGATCTGCCAAATTAGTTAGATGCCATTTCCTCTGCAGCTTATAAGTTATCTGTTTTAAGGTGCACGTTTGAGAGTTCTAGTCAACTACTTTGGATTTCAGGCTGTATTTTTCAGAGGTGCTACTATATCTAGAATCATATACAGAAAGGAAGTACATTTAATAACAAGACAATGTACTTCTGTGGAAATAAAGTTCAGGTAGCTGCTCTCCACTGTATTGGCACATCACATTGAAGATAACAGTGGTGCAATTATAGCCTTAATTTTACAGCAATCACAAAGATATTCACTGTGTTGAAACATTGATTCTGTTCATCTGGACGTAGTATTTTCAGTGGAAGAAACATTTCATCACTCATCCACCAAGTGACTTCTTCTATCATTAATATGCAAATTGTCATAACCATTGATCAACATATATTCAAATTTCAATTTGTTTGACCACAAAACAGTTTTCCACCTTGTGTAAGTCTATTTCAAATGACTTTTGACCCAGTGAAGATGGTAGTATTTCTATATCATGTTTCCATTTGGCTTTGCCGTTTCTTAATAGCCAACACAATGTTACTTAATAGCCTACCTGCATTTGTGTATGCATTAGTGAACCCCTTGAGAATTCTGAGAAACACTGGTTATACTGGTTACACTGATAATCATCTTAACCTGTTAAGATCAGGTTAGGGTTAGTGGCAAAATCTTCCTAAATCCGTTTCTTTTTAGTACCACTTCCTTTACCAGCCTTTTGTTGCCCCTGTCCCAAATTTGCCATGTTGCTGCCATGAAATTCAAAGTGAGCTAATATATTTCATCAAATAGTAAAATATTTAAGTTCAGACATCTGTTTTCTATGTTTTATTGTGAATAAAATAAGGGTTCAGGAGATTTGTAAATCATTGCATTCTGTTTTATTTACATTTTACACCATCCTGACTTTTGCAAAATCAAAACTGGCTTACCTTTCTTACAGTAGCTACACATATAGCTGAGAGATTGAGGGGGTCAATGGCTTCTAACTTCATCCCATCTTTGAACCAGTCCCCACTCTGGTCCACTTCCTTCGTCTGTAAAATAAAAGGCAGACAAGTGAAAAGAAAATAAGAAAGAAAAATTTATGAAAAGAATGCAGACAGTTAGGGTCATCCCCTTAGTGAACTTGATTAGAGTGACGGTACAGTAAGCGGGCCTGTTAGGTTGAAATTGTTAAATGTTGTCATTGTTTTACTTAAATTTGTAAGTTTTGTAAGTTTCTGTCCTCCTCCCCGGACTACATCTATGTGGGGGATGCAATAGCTATAGTGTTTAATTGTAGGGACATCCTATGTGAGAGTTCTGCTTTCTTATTTAGTGAGGATGTTTTACTTCCTGCGCTTGTGTATGGTGAGACTGTTAAAACGGGGTTGAGCCATATACAGGGGGAGGGGAGATGACCCTTTGTGATCAGCAGGAAGTCACACAAACACATCCACACACAGTCACTCACGTTCACGTGCACACACACAACCGAGCACACCGGTTAAAGCTGTTCGTCTTGCTTTCTTCATGAGTTATGAGTCTCTGAACTACCTCCTGAGCTACGGGGGTGGCTGTAGCTCAGGAGGTAGAGGTAGAGCAGGTCACCTACTGATCGGAAGGTTGGTGATTCAATCCGTGGCTCCTCCAGTCTTATTTATAAACCGTATTTCTATTTATACTTCAATGCAACCAACATCCCTACCTCTTTAAACTGTATTTATTATAACCTTATTTAGTATAGTTGCAACTGCACCCCCCCACTCTGTCTGTCTGTGTGTGTGTGTGTGTGTGTGTGTACACACACACACACACACACACACACACACACACACACACACACACACACACACACACACATATATATATATATATATATATATATATATATATATACATATACACACACACACATATATAAGTTATATAAATATATATAAAAAAAAAAAAAAAAAAAAACACCCAGCACGCCCCTGCGGGCGGTTTATCCTTCAAGCTCGGGTCCTCTACCAGAGGCCTGGGAGCTTGAGGGTCCTGCGCAGTATCTTAGCTGTTCCCAGGACTGCGCTCTTCTGGACAGAGATCTCCGATGTTATTCCCGGGATCTGCTGGAGCCACTCGCCTAGCTTGGGAGTCACCGCACCTAGTGCTCCGATTACCACGGGGACCACCGTTACCTTCACCCTCCACATCCTCTCGAGCTCTTCTCTGAGCCCTTGGTATTTCTCCAGCTTCTCGTGTTCCTTCTTCCTGATATTGCTGTCATTCGGAACCGCTACATCGATCACTACGGCCGTCTTCTTCTGTTTGTCTACCACCACTATGTCCGGTTGGTTAGCCACCACCATTTTGTCCGTCTGTATCTGGAAGTCCCACAGGCTCTTAGCTCGGTCATTCTCCACCACCCTTGGGGGCATCTCCCATTTTGACCTCGGGACTTCTAGGTTATACTCGGCACAGATGTTCCTGTACACTATGCCGGCCACTTGGTTATGGCGTTCCATGTATGCCTTGCCTGCTAGCATCTTGCACCCTGCTGTTATGTGCTGGATTGTCTCTGGGGCATCTTTACACAGCCTGCACCTGGGGTCTTGCCTGGTGTGATAGACCCCAGCCTCTATGGATCTTGTACTCAGAGCTTGTTCTTGTGCTGCCATGATTAGTGCCTCTGTGCTGTCTTTCAGTCCAGCTTTGTCCAGCCACTGGTAGGATTTCTGGATATCAGCCACCTCCTCTATCTGCCGGTGGTACATACCGTGCAGGGGCCTGTCCTTCCATGATGGTTCCTCGTCTCCCTCCTCTTTCTTGGGTTTCTGCTGCCTGAGGTATTCACTGAGCACTCGGTCAGTTGGGGCCATCATTCATTCATATATATATATATATATATATATATATATATATATATATATATATATATATATATATATATATATATATATAAATAAATAAAAGCTATTCTAATTCAATTAAGGGTGATACATATGTGATATTCATGGTTAAGCAACAGTTTGTGTATGTAAATGATCTGTGTACACAAACGTTTCTGGAGCTTGAAAAGGACTGTGTGCCAATGTCATGCACCAGGATGAAATGATAATTGAAAAGTCAAATGACAGAAATGTAGTATCCATCTCCATTTTACGAAGTTCCAAATGGAGTAGTCAACATCAGACACACAGAAACAGACAGACAAATCCATGCATGTATGAGCAAGAGCACAGAACACCACTGTTGGATTAAATGCTTTTATGAGGATTAACTTCAGATTTGTTAAACTACACAATAACATTTTGAATAAATAGCTCTTTCCCACCGAATCTACTACATAAGTATGAAACTTAAATTTTGGTACCCTTATAACACAGGGCTACCACGAGGCAACAAAACAAATTTTGCTCGAGAGTGGAAGAGACATATTTCTTATTATATTAACAGGGACCCCCAAGCACTTAAAAAATTAGGTTAAAGTTTTTTTTCTAAAAATAAAAAACAAAACTATATACCATAAAGGGTTATAACTTTCAATGTTTGTTATGTTTGGAATTGACAACTCACATTGAAACTGCAACATTTTATAATAGGATTGACTTGGGAATGCACCTGTAAAGGTTTGTGCCTCCAGGATCAAGGAGTAGAAAAGTAGACACTATGGGGACATGTTTAAAGTCTCAGACAATAAATAAGTATTTAGTAACGTTTAAAGCCTTATTTGTGCCATTTCAGTTAAAAGCAACACAGTATTATTTGATTGCGAGCTTTCTTTCAAAATATTGGTTAACAAATAATGTTTTAAACTTGCTTTTTTGATGCCAAAAAAAAATCCAGTTCATTAAAGGGGACATTAAAGTAAAGAAAAAGATGTTTTCAGGTCTTATTCCCCACTTGGATTTGAATTTAAGTGGAGTTTAAAGATTCATTAATCCTGTATTTATTCATTTTGATGAAAGGAGTGCTTTAATTTTTTAAATATAAATCCAAACCAGTCGCAGCACTGTTATGCCTGGCTGAATACTCATCATGCATGTACACACACATACAGTACATCACGTCTGTGTGTTGAAAATCTTCCTAGCTGAAGTGTGAAATCTGCTTTTCAAAGGGGGAAGCTTGCAAGGGAACAGGGACTTTTAGTGGTGGTTCACATGTGGGATAATAAGGATGAAATATATTCTGTTCTTTTGCCAAGTCTTACCTTCTGGAAGAGCTGTGGAGGAGCATCGACTTGACCATCTAATTTCCTTGTTATATCTAGAATATGAATACATGAAAATGACTGGTTACACATAAAGTGGGCATTGTTGTAGTCACGTGTGTCAATGAAGATTTCAAGTAAATATTGACACACGTGACCCACATTCACACCGGACTGTTACTTGATCAACTATAACAATTTTCAAAATTCACAAGTTTTGATTCCTCAGACTCCTTACAAAGTGAGTGTGCCTACCAGATCGTTTGAAGCGGTGTCCAATGCTTCTTGACCAGCCTATATTATGGATAAGAGGGCTATACATGTGGCACCAGAAGTCATCAGCTCCACCCTGGCTCTCCTCATAGACCAACCTCAGGCGACCTCCAATCACTTGCTCTACCAGCGCCACCCGTGTCCGGCTGAGATAGTTCTTATCAACCACCTCAACTCGCATTAGCTTCTTAAAGGGAAATTGCATGTTTTGCTGTACCTTCAGTGAAAAATGAGTGACAGGTTTACTAAACCAAGATGAAATTTAACAGCCAAGGATGAACAGAAACAACAACAATGTTTTATTGTAATTTTAGGTTCAGCAAGAACACTTAAAAATAAAATAAATATATAAAATGCAGCTTTACAATACTGGGCTGATGCCTTACCATATCATTAAAGTTAGGTGGCAGTGTTTTAGCTCCAGTGAGGCGCTTCACAAGAAACGTTTTCCAGTTAGAGTACTTATGTTGTATGCCTGTAGAGAGCAGCAATAATTAACCATAGTGCTAAAGAAAACTTAAGTGATTTGTTTGTCAAAACACTCACTTTTTGGAGGTACGAGGGGTTTGCCACTTGAAGCACACCATCCCACAGGGCGAACTTCAGGTATGCAGAGGTTACACCAGAAGTCTTTACTTGTGTCACTGTCAAAGCCCTCATAACGCAGGAGAGCCTTGAACCCTGAAGAACAAGAGGAAACACTGTTAATGTGCGCACTAATTCTTGACATCAGAAACAGTAGATTGAAAAATTAACCACTATCCGCGGTCAGTTTGCTTATTCTATATTCAGCTTCTTGACTAGTTGGAGAAAAAAAATTTGATACAAAGACTGTATTCACATGTGGTATAAACAGTGTTGGGACTAACGCGTTATTAAGTAACGCGTTACAGTAACTACGTTATTATTGTGGTAACGAGCACGGTAACTAGTTATTATGCCAAAACCGGGAACGCGTTACTCGTTACTGGGATTTAAATAGGCTCGTTATTCGTTACTTCGTGTGGTGGCTATCGCGGAGCTTCCACAGATTCAATAACATTAGCAAGTGGTGGAGGCCAGCAGGTGGATGAAGGAAAAGGGAGGCAAGAGGAGAGACCCGAAGCGGCCGCTGGTCTGAGAGTGTCAGGTGAACTGAACTTCAGGTAAGAAGTTATGACCTGCAGTTCATCTGGGTCAGATATAAACCAAGTTTAGGTGGAGTTTATTTTTGTTATGCTGACTTTTTCGTACTGCATGCTAGCTAGCATGACGGAGTTTCTATACAGCTGGGTGGTGCTATGTTACTGATGTTGAACTTTATTTTGTTCATAAGGTTAATTATTAGAGTTGCCAACCGTCCCGTAAAAAACGGAATAGTCTCGTATTCAGAGAAAATATTACACGTTTCGTATTGAGGTGAAAAGGAACACAGTTTGTCCCGGACTTCAGCTACAATGAAAAAGACACAAAGCTGGAGTTATTCTGTGTCTTTGCTGCACAGCTGCCTCTTCTCCCCTCTCTCTCCTGTTGCTACTTCAATCATGAAACTGATCAATGATCAGCTGATCGGCTTTTCTCTCGTGTTTATTTATCGCCCACTTTGCGCCAGAAAGAGGAAACCAGCGGATGTCGCGCTAAACAACAGCAGCACGTTTAAGCTTGATCAGCTAGAATTTATTTAAAATTACTTTCTAGTATCAGCTGATGTTTGCTGGAGCCACAGCTGTAAAGCTGCTGGTCATGATGTCGGTTTGGATATGTGGTGAGAGGGAAACATGAAGATGAAACCAGGAGATGTCCTTACTGAATCATCAGAGCTGTGATGGAGAAACAGGTTTACCTTTTAGTTAACATGAATGAGTTGAAGGGAAGTTATGAAGTAAACTAGTAAGTAAGTAAGTAAACTTTATTTATTAAGTGCTTTTCACAGCGCTTAATAAATAAGCGCTGTGAAAAGCGCTTATTTATTAATACTTAATAAATGAACTGTTTCTGAGAGACAAATAACACCAGGATCCTTTTCTAAGTAGCTGACAGCTGGTAACTGTGCAGGGGCGGGTCTAGCAAAGTGTTGCCAGGGGGCCAGGTAGAGCATTAAAAGGGAAAGGGGGGCACAAGGAAATACTTTCTTATTCTCATTTAAAATGTCTCCCTTTAAAAAAAATAATTATCTGAGTCTTACAACAAACAATTGATAGATTGATGCATGTATACCATCAGAACAGTGTACATCACTGTCACAACAGTGTTTATTTTCATTCAAAGGCTTTATGATTTTTCCTATAATGCCCGGGACGATTTTTTTGTCCCAGTCCAGCTCTGTATGCAGCTCATCTGCAGTCTGGTGTTACCTACATCTTCCTATTCAGAAGGCAGAATTTCCGAGTTCTGAGTACAATCGAAAGCACCACGACTGCAGTTTTTGTGTTGGATGTAAAAAGCAGGCTAGGATAGAATCAGGCGTGGGATTTCTCTCGTGGAAATGTGCACATTATTTTTTCCTTTCTATTGGTAGGTGGCACAGTGCACTTGTGGCAAGTAAGCAAGCTAGAAGACTGACAATCTTGCTGGGTTACGGAAGCAACACATTAACAAGAGAATTTTGAGTAAAACCAAAGTTACTTTCCCTAGTAACTAGTTACTCTGAAAGTAACGAGTAACTTGAAGTAACTGAGTTACTTTTGATAGAAGTAACTAGTAATGTAACTAAGTTACTAACTTAAAGTAACTTACCCAACACTGGGTATAAATAATGTGTTATTTCTCCTCACTGTTGGTGAGAAAACTATTTATACTGTATCGATTCCCTTCCAAAGGTTTCTTTCTAAACAATCTCAGAAAATCACTTCTGTTTCAGTGCTGAATTTCTTTAACAGCTCATAACAAAGATGTCTGAAGTGAAGCCTTAGTGAAGGAATGGAAATCAGAGTGTCCTGTACTTTACACATAGATGATAAATACATGTGACAGCTAAACATACCAATGAATGTAAACATCTTATTTTTAAGGTTTTTTCCCCCTCTGATGTCAACTTGCACATTTTATTTGTTGGGATGTGGACTGTCACATGTGGAATGGGAGAAGGGGTTTGTTGCTTATTTCTTTGTTTATGGTAAAACAAAAATCAAATACAGACTTTTATTAGCTCAGGTAGAGGGATACATCTGGTACTTTCATCTATGTGTAGGTTTGTTGTCAGTATTGTCATCAACACAATTGCTGCCAGGACAAAGCAATAAACCTTGACAGATATGGGTCTGACTAATGAGGATGATATTGGCTCAATTGAGAATGAATTTTTAAACTATTTTAGTACTGTAATTTAAAAAAAAAATAAATACAACTATTCTTGCAGCATGTCAGTGTGTAGTATTAAGACCTAGAAAAACTTAAGGCTACAACTTTACAAGGTTGGGCGATATGTAGGATTTTTCCAACCGGCATTCGTCAGTCCAATAAATGACGATAGGTGATATATTTGCACAGGTGACTTTTTGAATTTATACGTTTTTTGGAGGGAATATTTCACTTTCTTTTCTTGTTTGTTTCAGTATTAATATAGGTACGTTCTTGATTAGTCATTTGTTTATTTGAGAGGCACCAAATCGCACAAAAGACAACTTTACGTCAAAGATTTTTTTTATGTTCGCTGGAAGAAACATTTTTTAACATACGTTTTGTATCTTGTTGTTTGGTCGAGTGTGTAAGACAGATAAACATTGGAAGAGCCTGTAAACACTAGGGGTGCAACGATACACAAAATTCACGGTTCGGTTCGATACTTTGGTGTCACGGTTCGATATTTTTTCAATACAAAAAAAATGTTCATGCCTTTTTAATTTGTCATTTATTAAAATTATAAATATATATTTTAACTCAAAAGTACAGTTTTTAAATTTAACCCTAACCCTTGTGCGTGTTTTTTATTTTGACAGCGAATGCACACCTGCAGACCACTTATGTGCAGCCCTGGTTATTTAGCTCGTCATATTGCAGCCACAGAAATTCTTTTGTCCATGAAACCATAAAGCTGCACTTTCTTTTTGCCTTATAGTCTGATTTGTCATAACTTCTCCGTTTTGTGGTAAGCTTTTCTTTGGCTGTCACTTCTTCACCCTGACCTGTCTTATTTGGCTCAGCAGAACTAAAATATATATCCTGCTGCTTTTACACACGCACTCATATAAGCTCAGCGATTCTCTGCGCGATCAACCTCTCACATGTTTAAGCTGCGGGAGATTTCACTTGTCATGTTTGCATAGTAAGCTAACGATTAATAAGACGATGTCAGAGGAATTGGTGCACAAATTATCATCACTCACAGATCAGTGCTGTCGCTCTCTATACACAGTTCGCACGATTGCAAAGTGAAAGCAAAAAAACAAGCACAAATTCAAACGCGATTTCAATATGTCACATATTGACAGTGGCTCACCGATGCCAATGACATAATTACCCAGCTACATTTCTGAAAGAATGCAAAAGCATTGAAATATTTTTCCTTCCTACAATAGCCCGACGGGCAGGGTAGCCCGTCTGAAAAAAATCGCTAGCCCCAGGACGTCGGGCTAGCGATTTTGCGAGCCCTGTATCTGATTGAGGAATCACTCATCTTTGGAAAAGAGAGTTTATTACAGAGAAATGTCTCTTTCCAAAATAAAAGCTATACTATCCGCTTCTTCTGGGCTATATTCTCAGCAGCATAAGGAGAATCATGTGCTAACAGCTGTCTAAATGACTTGGCTAAAGTTAGTAGCATGCTTGTTGTTTTTGTCTTTGCACTAGGATGATGTCGGCGTAAATGTGCAGTCATATTCGTTGTGTTCCCACTAGTGCTTTCAGGTTAATCTCGTTGAAATGACCTTAACGCCACAACACGGCAAATCTCCGTTAACGAGCTACCGCCGATCGCCCCGTGCATGGGGCTAGACGGCCAACTGCGCTAACACACTAGTTCCCACCCATGTAATTGAGCATTGCATGGCACATCCAACATACTGTTTTACTTTAGTCCATGACTCGCTTACCTTCAGGGTCATACGTCACATGAAAACCAAAATAATTCCAAACGCCAGATCTGAATGAGAGTGGGGGAGGTCCATGTTGCAAGGAGAGCTGAACTTCTGTCTTGCTAGCTTGCCCTGCGCTCTTCCTTCTGACTATGCTGTCTGTGTTGAGCGCTCAGTGGATCTGCGCTCGACAGTGCAGCCTAGGCGGAGTAGTCGAACGCAGATTCACTGAGCGCTCAACACAGACAGCATCGTCAGAAGGAAAGTTGATAAAATAAATTACAAATGTATTGTTCGATACATATGCGTACCGAACCGAAAGCACTGTATTGAACAATTCAATATCGATACGAATATCGTTGCACCCCTAGTAAACACGGTTAAAGTGGAAAAAAGAAACCAGTTTTTCTTTGTTTCCCTGCCCAACATTGTATTTTTTTATTTAAATAAAATGTTTTTGTTTTTTACTGAACATAGGATACTGTCTTTCTTTCTTTCTGTTATGACTTTGTGTAAATTGATCGCTGCATTTGGGGGCACACTGAGGAGGGTGCCGTTAAAACAGCGCTATTATTGTTTTTGTTGACTTTTTCTCTTAGCTTCAACCAACATTATTAGCAAACTTACTAACGGGCAAATAAATAAATTGCTCTTGTAAAAACGATTGGCGAAAGGCTCAGCCTATCGTTGATCGTTGATAAATTCGTCCAATCACCCAACCTTACTACACCGATTCTGAGTCAACTAGCAGCTGCAAGTTCTCTTTTATGTAAAGCCAAATGCCTCTCTTGTGGTTCACTGTCTCATCAACAACAACTACTTGTTGTGGAAACAGCGAAACTAACTGTTCAAATGTTCAGTGTGACTTTTACATTGGACTTTGCATACATTTGCTATGTCGTGATGTACTTATTCAGCATTAACACTTACTCCTAACAGAGTTCACAAAAATGAAAAGACACAAACACAATTAAAAACACCCCAAGGGTTGTGTGAGAGATTTTACCTTAATTACTTGTAGTGTTTACCTGCTAGCTTTATGATTTCTGCTATCCAGTACACCTTGGTGGAGAAGTTGGTATCAGAGTTGGGCACTTCAATCCTCACACCTACTTCAATATCTCCCCAACATGTTCCCATGGGGGCCTGAGGCACAGAAGTTATCAGCTATGATAATCATAGTATCATATCAGTGGTGACCATATTCTCAGCTCCAGCTACTTACATGCTTGAAACAGCTGACAGGAGCCCCCACCGTGTTACTGCTACAGATATACTGCCCCCAGTCAAAACTCTCTCCAGCGACCACTGACGGAAACAACAATTAGTTTGTTGCTTGTGTACATCAAAAAGAGCAGAAATATGAGCCCCATCATGATTGCTTTTTCATAGCCTACCCGCTTTCAGTTTGGCCTGGTTCTGTTGACTTGCTTGGTACTGGGCATAAGCTGCCAACTTTGCCATGAGAGGCTGTTTCTGTAAGACTTTAGCCTTTTTTGTTGGTGGTTTGCCCTTGTAAAAACCAAAGCAGATGTTAATATTTACATAATACAAAATTATGAAACTACTATACTTGTTTATCAAAGATAATGCATTTACCTGGAGTCTTGCCAAGATGCTAGCTTTTTTAGAATTTGAGGAATAACTCCTAGAACAGGACACACTGCAGAAACGCTTGGTTTTGGAGTAAAAAGCATCTCGTACACCGACCATCCCACACATCTCACAGGTGGCTGTGAAAACAAACCGAAATAGATCAGCAGTCTACAAATGGTAAATGGCATTTATAGTTATCCCCATAAGTATTTGGAAATTGACACAATTGCAATTTTTGCTCTGTACGTGGTAAATAGACTGGTTTTTATATAGCGCCTTTCTACTCTGAATACTAAAAGCTCTTTATACATCTTTCCTCATTCACTCATTCACATGCAATCGCACAAGCACTTTTTTATAGGCACTTTCTACCCAACAGTCATACACATTCATTGTCCGGTGGATGCATCGGAGAACAACTTGGGGTTATTATCTTGGCCAAGGATATTTGGCATGTAGAATGGAGCAGAAGGGGACCGAGCCACCCAATCACTACAGTGGATTTTAAATTAACCAAATGTGATACAAATGAAAAATTTCAGCTTTAATTCAAAGGGTATACCAAAAGTAATGCATTAACTGTTTAGGTAATTCAATATCTTGGCCAAGGATATTTGCACATATGAATGTTGAGGAGCTGAGAATCAAACTAATAATCGTTCTACTTCCTGAGCCACAGCAGCTAAACGTAAACACTATTATTGTTCACTCACAGATTATTATTTAAGCAATACACACAAAAAATAAGCCTCATGTACTGACCCATTCCAGCCTTTCCATCAGGGTAGGTGTAGACTTGTCCATTGTTCTTGATGATGGGCAGACTAGCAGGGATAGAGGGTACCACCTCATCCTCACTGTCGTCTGAGCTAGAGCTGCTGGTGGACTCCTCGCTGCAGCTGTCATAGCCATCAAACATCCCGAATGAGTCTCGTCGCTTACGATCTGAACGTGGGGTACGCTCAGCCTTTACAGAGGACACAACAGAGAAACACTGAATGAATTCATATGGATGCTTTTAGGGGTGTCTGTAGCTCAGGAGGTTCTCCTCTCCATTTCTCCGTATAATGTAACACGTTTACTTTGGCATTGGTCATGGAGAAAGCAGTGAAATTGGTCTAAGACATAGGTGTCAAACTCTGGCCCGTGGGCCTAATTTGGCCCGCAGCCTAATTACATTTGGCCCGCAAAGCCATACCAAATTATTATTAGAGCTGGCCTACTGGTATTATACAGCTAATATATATATTCTTTAGTATTAAGCTTTGCTTGTTCCATATTCAGTTTTTCAGCAAAACTTGTTTGAGTCCATAAGAAGAGATTCATTCTTAAATCTGGAGGAAGATTTTTTTTTTTCAATAAATATTAACGTTAGCCCGCGACCTTGTTCCAGTTTTGAATTTTGGCCCACTGTGTATTTGAGTTTGACACCCCTGGTCTAAGAGAAGGTAACTGTTCAGAAAAACATATTTCATTCAAATCATTTTATTTTACTCCATTCCTTTTGAGTTATTTTACTTTAGTAAAACTCAATAAAAGAAAAATAATTCTTTTGAGCTATTGCACTTTATTTTAACGGCTCCTTACAAATGTCCTTGTTCTGTGGTTCTGGAGTTTAGCCACACAAACTAGCCAAAAATTTGTCTTTAGTGCAGAAGAGATGCCCAGTTTATTTATTTATTTATTTTTTAACAGCGGCGCTCTTATTCAAATTAAATATACCATGGTTTTTAATATTAATAAAATTAACCTTTTCTTTGAACATATAATTAATGGTAAAAGCACAGCAATAATAGTGCCTTAAAATAATTCTTATTACTGTTAATCTCAATCTCTGTGCGAATCAATACAAAAAAACGAAGATACTTAAAACAACAACTTCTGTGAGGAGGCTAGAAAGGGAATATTGCTCTAAGGCATTCTTGGGAGGTAGAAAGGGGAAGAATGGGGGAGCAGACACAGTCTGCAATAGTTGCAAAAGAAATAGTTTGATTGCAAGGTTGATGCAAAATATAATAATGGACCAGAAGAAAATAAAGATTCAAATCTTTTTAGTTCACATTTTTATTATTTTTGTAATCAATATTATTTCCTTTTTTGAGCATTTGTAAGATGTTTTAGACAAATGTCAACAAAAATCAAGTCCCTAAGCTAAATTTTAGTATTGAAGTGAAGCTGAACTTATTTTAGTTGAAAGATGCAGTTTTACAGTTCGCCTTTCATCATTAATGCATCATTTAGATTCAGGTAGGAAAATATCAGCGAACCATATCTGAGTCAGCATGACTTTGTTCGAAACGCCCAAACATCTAAATAAATAAATTCTACGTGAAAATATGGAAGTCTGATCACAGGATCCGGAACAATGCGTACATGTTGTCAAAGCTAGTTTACTTCCTCTTCACAGCATCTCAGCTCAAACATTACACTACGCACAACTGTTTAACTTAAAAAAAAAATATATATATATATATATCTCAAGACACCCATTTCCAAAGACATCCTTCGTAAGCTACATTTTGCATACATATATATTAAAAAGTAAACTAATACCGAAACTAAAACAAGGGACGGCCTTATTACAAACACCTCCTAAAGCTAAACAGCACTAGCATAGCTAGCTAGCAGAACCTGTTTCTCCAGGGTTTTTTTTTTTTCAGAGCAAAGCCTTTTTACGTTCGTCTATTATATAGTTGCAATAGTTAGACTTGTAAGAAAACTCTACTTGTTTTTTTTTTTCAGAGAGAGAAAGAGACGAAAGAAAGAGCTTTAGTATTATGTGTAGATGGGTGAGCCACTAGCTGGCTATCGTAAACAGATAACAACAAAGGAGGCGTACTAGCCTGAACAATCCACTGGAAACGGAGGCTCGCGGCCCAAAAATGTTTCAAACCAACTCACCAAATCCCTTGCGTTTTCCATCAGCCCTTCATATAGATGCTCTTCCAGTTACCTGCACTTCCTAATTCAAACAAATCCCCTCACCTGGGGTATAACCTAGCTTTGAATTTTAGTCTAAATACTACCAAGCAGGATATCAACAAATTACTCTGCAGCCTCTGCGCATGAGCGACCGTAACCTACTTTCGTGTGATTGGTGGATCTGCAATGGAGGTCATCGACCGATGCAGACACAAAATAGACTTCGCAGAGTAACTGAATGAAAGGGGCCTTCAGAACAACTACAGATTATTAGTCGGTGTAAGTACAGTAACGTTACAGTAATTTCAATGGTTTTGTTTTGTTTATAACTAGCTCCTGACTTTCGTTTGAAATTTTTCCATATAAAAAGAACTTCAAAATAAAATACACAAGTATTACATGTGAAGTAAAATAAATATTTTATTAGGATATAGTGACATTATTACATTTTCAAAGACAATCTTTCTTGTGAAAGATTTCTACAGTAGATGTAATATGTTCACACTGAACAAAATCTGAGAACCACATTCAACAACACTTTAGCTTTTAACTTCCAAAATATATTCACTTAAGCCTGATAATGGGCATAGTTTTTTTTGATATACATACAAGTATAGCAAGAAACTAAACAATATTAACCACAAACCAACTGAACTTTGCTCCAGTAATTCCAATCACAGTGCTTTTCAGTAATAATACTGGCATTCTAGATTTATTCCTTTCCCTATTCCTTGAACACAAAATTTAGCAAAGCAGAACAAAACATTAAACAAAAAACAAAGAATTATTTGCTGAAGTAACAACAACAAATGGATAATGGCTGGAAGAACTGTGGCACACTCATCAAGTAGGTAAGGCTTCAGGAAGAGGGTTTATGTAATCAAGTTTAGGTTAGGCAAAGCTCTATATCATCATTAGGGCTGATGCTGAGGAGTAGATGTTGAGGGCTGCTAAAGAAAAGTTAATCATTTTTAGACATAATGGTTCACACAAGAGCGTTCACTAGCAAATGTTCAGAATCAGACATCAAACTGGGAGAAGATACCTTGGTTTTTTTTAAATATCTTTGGTCTCACAGCAACTCGTCCTCCACAACATCATCAACACTTCCTGATATAGAGGCAGCTTCTGAGGTGCAAGAAGGAAACACTCAAGTTAACAATGACTGTAACAGCAGCTTCAACTCTTTTTGTTTATCCACCATGGTACAAAAGCTTGACTGAGAGTCATAGTGACACCGTTCCTTTGTTTCACTATGTTATCTTTATTTTCACTGTATTGCTTTTTCTTACGGATTTAAACCTCCCCCAGATAGGAAACTGCTTTATGATAAGAACATGTAGGATTTTCCTCTCTAAAATAAGACAAATCTTTCACGATCTTTGCTAATTCTAGTCACAAAGCAAACAACTAGAAACATTAACATAAGGGTGGCTGTAGCTCAGGTGGCAGAGCAGGTCAGCCACTAATCAGAAGGTCGGCGGTTCGATCCCAGGCTGCACCCTGGCTGCATGCCAAATATCCTTGGGCAAGATACTAACCCCGTGTTTGCCTACTGGTGGTGGTCAGAGGGCCCGGTGGCGCCAGTGTCCGGCAGCCTCGCCTCTGTCAGTGCGCCCCAGGGCAGCTGTGGCTACAATGTAGCTTGCTATCGCCAGTGTGTGAATGGGTGAATGACTGAATGTAGTGTAAAGCGCTTTGGGGTCCTATGGACTAGAAAAGCGCTATACAAATGCAGGCCATTTACCATTTCCTGATTTGTTAGAGATAAACTACAAATTGCACTGAATAAAAGTATTTGGAGTATTAGGGTCAAGTTAATTGATCATAATCAAAATGTATATTGTTGTGTTCATTTCTTCTTGAGACACTTTAGAAAGTTGATTTAACAGAACTGCATTCCTGTTAATTTTCCACCACATGGGGGCATACACTACCTCTCTGTAGGTGTAAGAAGTGTCCCAAGTCAAGTATCTGATCCAATGTGGACATCACTTGGATATTCTGTTGTATTTAGAAACCTAGATAACATTTTTACTTCAACATACAATCCCAGTAACATCAGGGTATGAGGGTTACTTTATGATCGCTTAAACATAGTCACTGGCAAATCTACAGTTCCATGACAGAACTCACCTGATAAACTAATACAGGAAAGACTGAGCTCTGATGATGCTCCTATTACATCATCCTGTTGGAAGAATAAAAGTGATTAGCCGCTGTTAAACAGTCCTCCAAACTTTCAGAACAGAAGTAAGGGGATTACCTAATCTCTCAGGCATAAAGATAAATTAAAATAATAATAATAAAAAATGACAGAGTACCTTGTCGGATACAGTTGGACAGAGATTAATATACCTGACAAGCACACCCAAGAAAACTAGGATGCTAGAATTGCATACCAATAATAAGAAGCAAGATTCTTTATTATTCTTTTATTAATGTCTTCCTTCACATACAGAAGTTCATATAAACTCATCATGTGCATGAATGCCATTGTAATTCTGGACTTGACTGATGATTTCTTTTAGCTGTTCTTTTTACAAGGGTGGAATAATCATACAGCATATATATTTTATGACATTAAAAAACAAAAATTGGGTCCATCATTTGGAAATCATTTTGGATATTCTCTAATCTGCAAAAGGTAAGAATTATACATATAGTGTCAAATATAAACATACACTCTCACTAATATTTGGTTAACTGTCTCTTAGCAAGTTGTACCTCGTTTAATAGCCATCAATAAGCTTCTGGCATTTAGTTGCTGATTTGAGTCAAAGAATTTGAAGTTAACCCTTATTTTCAACATTCAATCCAATTTGTGCAACAGTACCACTGGCACAGTGCAGTATAAAGGTACATCAGACCAAGATGAAGTCCCTGTTGCAGGAACCTACAGTGCAGCACTAAGGATCTGGATTTGATCCTGATGAGATGCATGAGGAGCCTAGTCCGGAATTACCCAGTAGTAATAGTCCAAATGGTACAGGTGGAATGGGCCCAGCCAGCTAGAAGACTAAATGGTATCAGTCTTGCAGCCATGACTCACCTGCAAATCATGGCTGCAAGTCAGGGTTGTTGTCAGTCAGTGGAGGTTAACTGAGGGAGTCTGGATTCCCAAAAATGAGAATTCCACAATCATCCAGCAGTTTTGATCTATCTCTCTGTTCAGTGTTGATTTTTCCAGGATTTTTTCCCGCTGGCTTACAGACGTCCTGTTCAAGATTAAGTATATTGATACCCTATTTTTGTCCAGGAAGAAGTAAGAGACGCTGGAAGACACGAAAAGCAGAATGAGTAACTTACCAGCATCATCTGCAGACAGCCAAGATTGCAGCCCTCTTTTTTTCCATTCAAATCTTCATGGAAGATAACGGCATAGCCCAATCGTATAAGCTCCTCTCCAACATTAACAGCCTTTTTTACATGATATGCACATGGAAAGAGGAGACAGGGTAAAGGACAAACCAAACACAGGCTTATTAAAGTCTTATTATTAAGAAATAAAATCCTATCTAACCTTGCCCTCACTGTTGTCATAGAGCTTGACACTGGGCCATGAGGAGATTTCCGAGTGAGAGTAGCTGCACAGTTTGGCCTGCAGGGGTCTCCAAGAGGCACAATATGTCAGCCTCTCAAACTGATCCAGGGCTTCCTCAGTCCAAACCCCTCCTGCATGACAAGTTGGTGGAGGAAAGAAACTGAAATAATCAAGAATTCAAGAATAATGCACTGCAGAATACTAAAAGACCTAAGGGCGTCAGTATATCCTCTGCATTGATTGTGCCACCGTAACATCATTGCACAGTCAGTTTTATTTATGTTCCCCAGTAAGATGAGTCTGAGTGATATAGCAAATGTAGTTTTTTCAATTATGATGGTTAAAATGGCTCTACTGTAACCATCGAGTATAAATTGCCATGGTAATAATAAGCTGTCTGCAGTTTTTTTTCTCCCACATGCTATAAATGCATCACTAATCCCACCCCCCAACCACAAATTTTTCTACCTGGCACACTGCGCTGAGCATGCGTGTTTATATACTACCAAATAGGGAAAAATATGGTGACAGTGAGAGTCTCAGACAAGCAAGGAAATGAGACTGTAACTGAACAGGAGCCAGACAAGATGGTTCCAAAGAGAAACAGCACTGGATCAATCATCTGGCAGTGGTTTGGATTTCCCAAAGAGGATGTCGAACCTAAATGCGGAACGTGGTATTTAGTACTAGTGGTAATGTGGTCACATGGCTTCACTCAAACCTGGAGCTTGTGTTTTTAGCACAGAACTTACACACCTTAAACACAGATGACAGTGTTCTTGTTCAGGAGTAATAAAGTCACAATTCTTGATTATACGTTAGCTTCTGTGAATTTTTTTACCGCTTTGCGTGGTGTGTTTTGTTGTTTAAATTCTAGAACAGGTAGCGCGATCATTATTTAGATGGTTTTGAGATGCTCTAATACCTGTGATATGACTGTTCTTGTTCCGTTTTTTTTGAAGGCACTGTCTGAACTTGGAACCGTTTTCCATTTTACCACTTTTTGCTGTTTAAACTTCTTAGCACATATAGAGACAATAGTTCTGAGATGCTCTGATACCTGTGACAGTTTTTGGTCAATGGTTTTTATAGACACTAACTACACTTTTGTTTCTGTAGGTCATCACATTTTACAGTTTTTATATGTTATAAGCACAGAGAACACCTTTTTAATTACAATTGTTTTAAATTTGACTTTTGCTTTCTTTTTTTTGTTAAAGGGTTAGTGTTGACCACAGAAAGACTGTGAGAATATTGTCATTTGTGAAAAACCTCTGTGTGCAACTGATGGTTAAAAAATGGTTAAAATAAAACATATTTTTTGGCTATATCGCAACACATCATGTGTTGTGATATACAATACACGACCAGACGAAAGAAATGGCCAAAATGGTAATGCCAGTTGATGTGATATGACACAGCGTGACAGGAGGTAAGCAGTGGCCATAAAAGTGCCCTTATGTCCTCATGTACCAGCAAGTGTGTGACAAAGTGTGTATAAGTATATGTGTGTGTGTGTGCGTTTGGGAAAGAGTGTGTATGTAATGCTGGGCATACACTGTGCGATTTTTGGCTCATTTTGAGCCGATTTTTCAGTCGT